CAGAAGCACACACACACACACACACACACACACACACACACACAAACAACAATGTCCTCCTGATGAGCGGTGTGAGAGTTTCTTTGTGTGTGATTGTGTGTGTGTGTGTGTGTGTGTGTGTGTTTGTGTCAGCATGTGTGTGCACAGGGCTTGACATTAATGTTTTTGATCACCAGCCACTGTGGCTAGTAGATTTCCAACATTACAAGCCACTTGCCTTTTTCACTAGCCACAATTTTGTTGCTTGGATAATATATTGTATATAAATAAATGTGACTTTGACATGCTGAAATGACTTGATTTAGATGTTGTGTTGTCCACATGCCTCCTCATTCACTGTTTGTGTGTGTGTGTATGAGCTTGCATTGACCGCTGCTGCTGCTGCACGACCATCGCTTTTTGTCTAGTCTGTTTCAAAGGCCCCGTTTACACTGTCAGGTCTTGATGCCCAATTCTGATTTGTTGCCCATGTCTGATTTGTTTGTCTGTCTGTTTACACGTTGTTTTAATTGTGACCCATATCCAATTCATGCGTTTACACTTGCCATACAATTTACGATGTTGCGCATGCATGAAGGCGGATTCTAGCATCTGTGCAAGCAGTAAATGGTTCAGTCTAGATTTACCCCTACGCAGTTTATGTAATGGTATGGCCCTGATGTGTGTGTGTGTGTGTGTAGTTGAAGATGTAGCTTTTGCCTGTGTGCGCACTGGTGTTGGAGAGAATAAAGTTGCACTTATGGTTTGTGCTTTAATGATGTCCTCCAGCGTTCAGAGGAATGTATGGCTATGAGAGAGATCGCAGGTCTGGTGGGAGCAAATTGTGGTGACTGACCACTTTCCTCCTCTGTGTTTCCTCTGTTGTTTACTGCATCGGCATCTCCACACACGCTCTTCCTTCTACATCATTAAACCATGGAGAAGCAGCACATTGTCCCAAGTTTAATGATGTACAGAACGAAATGCCTCAATAAATCCAATCTGCCTGTTTAAATGACAGTCGCTTTATCACATATCCGATCTGTATCTGAATTATTTCCACATATGAAGGAGGCCTGAAACCCATCTCTGAATTTCTGAATGCATGCGTTTATTTCGTGTTCACATGGTCATAGAACAGATCCGATCTGTGTCACATATGAGCAAACAATCGGAATTGGGTCACATTTAACTGGCAGTGTAAACGGGGCCAAAGAGAACTGCTCGCACCAGTTGTGCTTCCTTTATACACGGTTGTTTCGCCAAGTTAACGGGAGCGAGTAATGCTTTTGCTCGCACGAACAGTTATTTTTGTCAGTCGTGCTGCTTGTCGATTCTAAGATCACATTTGCACGCATATTGGGGCATCCTTATTGTTGAACCCTGCTTAAAGAACACTACAATGTACAAAATATTTCCAACCTGCCACAGTGGCTAGTGGGAG